CGGTTAGAAAGGTAAAAGGGGGCACCGTAGGTGAGAGAGATGGGAAAGGCAGGTATGTGTAACGAAAAGAAAAGAAGAAGGAAAGAGATGCACCTTGCTCAGGACAGAAGAAACATCTGAAGGAAAGACCATTCTCTGTTTGGTTGTATTTTGTTTTCTGTTTTTTTTTGGGGGGGAGGACACACCCCCCGCGCCGCTTGATATATGGAGCTCTGGTACTGGCTTCAGCTGACGTGTGTGCTTTGTGCTTCCGCTCTGACCAGAAGAAAGGTTCCTGCCCGTTCATACTATTGCTGGGGTTTGGCAACCCGCATGCCATGTTCTGCTTGCGGTACCCGTAAACACACAAACACACCACCAGACGGGTCAAAAGAGAGAAACAGACAGGAGAGAGGGGGGGGGCGGGTGATGCACACTATTTACAACATCAAAGTCGTACATACCATTTACTGAGTACCCGAGAGCAAGACAAAAACGTCAAAGACGGGATGTCTTCCGACTTGCACGGAACACCAAACAAGCGGGACAATTTTGTTGTGCTTTGGTTCCACAATTGTGCGACAACATGGTAACAATCGTGTGCAACGCTTTGTCGGGGTTTGTTCCACCGCTCGTTGCGTGACAACATGGCAATACCGGTGTTATGTCGAACCGGAAAAAGAGTCCCAAACCCCTGGTCGTGTCAGTTCAGGCCGGACTGCAACAAAAATCGCTTCCAGTAGTTCTTCTCTCAAAGTCACGACGATGCAGAAGCCAAGAATGTAAATTTATAATTTTTTGTGATTTTATTTGAGAAGTCTGACACACAAAACATAATGAAATAATAGCTGGGTGTGTTTAGTTTTGGCAAAAAAAGGCGGCCACGAGGAGCACTAGACAGCCACGGACGAAAGGAGGGCTTCGTCAAAATCACGTCGATGCGCCCCCGGTGTAATCACGCCATGACGACGATTTACGGGATACATCGAACCAAGTCTCATCTTCCTATGCAGTCGGTTGCCAAGCACCAATACACCTTCAATCGGACAGATCACCCGCGTACGACGCTCGGTACCTAGCAAGGCTAACGTATAACAAGTGCACCATTGCACTCACTCTTGTCAAGGGCAGATTCGAAACATGTCAAGTTCGCGCAAGGACGGCAACAACCACAACGTACCACAACCACGACCACGACACACCTTGCCAAAGTAGGTGGAAAGCCCGAAGTCGATGAGCTTGAGTTCCGCATCAGGCTTGTCCGACTCGAACACCCAGTTCTCGAGCTGCAACAGCAGCGCAAACGTGTTGTGTGTGAGGGCGTGCGACAAGGCCCACGAGGCAGTGACATCGTCAACGGTGGTGCAGAAGTTTCGTCTTGTGTGCTCGCGTGTGCAGCCAGGACAAGCAAACTGTGGTTCGGCCATGGTATAAGGCAGCCTGAAGGCCAGAAGGCAGGAGAAAGGAAACACGCCAACACCGGCGTCCACAGCGGCATTGAGATCAATCTCTTTAACGGGAACAACAACAGCATCGACACCCGCACCACTAGCAACCACCACGACGACGATGAAACAACAACAACAACAACAACAACAACAACAACAGTGGCATCAACAACATGTGGTTGTTGTGTACCTTCAGGTCGCGGTGACACAGTCCGTGCGCGTGGCAGTGCCTAACCGCGGAGAGCATTTTCCGAACCAGCTCGCAGCACCTCTTCTCGGAGTAATGTCCCTGAAACCGACAAAAAAAAACCAGCAAACCGACGACGCATCAACCGTACGCGTGGTGGAACAACAGACAGAGAGAAGGGCACACGACAGTCAAACATCAGGTGAACCCGGTGGCCAGTGTCCATGGAACGCCAGCACCACCAGCACCAATAGTGTCAGCTATGGTACGGTGTGGTAACGGGTTGGTGAAAGATGTCCACAGTTTCTTCTGTGCTCTGTCCACGTGGTTGGACAAGCGTATTCTGGAGCTTCCAGCAACAGGTTCCGCCTGCACGCATCGATTCTCGGCCGCGACCCGAGGTTCATGCACCTATCGGCTACCTCCAACGCCCAGAGCTTTCCCGTTCCAACCCATTGGAGGTACCTTTGCACACACGAGGAGCGTTATTGCTTTCTCCCCCTGCCCCCCCCCCGCAATCTCTCTACAAACAGCGGGGCCAAGTTCAACACCCTCTGTTAGACACGGAAGCCGCTGTACTCCTGTTGGACCATAGATATGGTACGGAAAGGGGGGTGGGGGGGGGGGGGGGGGAAAATTGGTAAGAAAAGGGTTTTGAAATTTGGCCCCAAAGGTGGAAAAAAAAAAAATGGGAAAAAGAAAATGCCTTGGGAAAAT